ATTTACAGAAATATTAATAAATTATAAAATTTATTATTTCCTTTTTATTTAACAATTTAAATATAATTTTATATAATAGTGTGTAAGTTTTGTGAAGAATAAAAATTACGGATAATTAATCCATAAGAGCATACGTGACACTCTCTTTGTCCAATCTTATAAAATTGGTAATAAAGTTATGAAAAACTACCAAATTTTCAAATCCAAATATTGTAGAAAAAACGAAAAAAAAAAAAAAAATAATAAATTTTAACAACTTGTATCTCAGCAGTAGAATAGTATTTAATCTAGTGTTATTTAGCAAAATATTATTATTTTGAAGTTATGAACTTAAAATATTGCTCAATCTTGATGAAACCCTATATCTCTGAAAAACAATTGGAATAAATAAATATAATTTTTCCAGACATGTTTTTTATTAAACATACTAATTTTTTATTGTCTTATTTATAAAACCACGACAAATTACTGTAACGAATACATGCGATGTAATTAATGAAAGACAATCTATCTTAAAAAAATAAAAATAAAAATCTCGCATGTTTCCAATGACGCATCGAATTTCGTCTATAAAAAGTTGCACGAAAATTGGAAAATCCACAAATGGATTAAACATATTTTTTGTATTAGAAAATACATACAGGTAATTTCAATGAAAACTATCCACCCTGTCATTTTAAAGGTGAGGCATTTATGCAAAAAGCAAAAAAATAGGTCAAACATAATTGTATCATTGTATGAAAATCAATGGAAAATAATTTGTTATATCATAATAATTCCATTAATTTTTGAAAATTACGCCGTTTTTGTTATTAAATTGAAATGATCTGTAACTTCCAAACGATTCACTTTACACAGGTATACATTTTTGAAATCGAATAATATTAGAGGATAATAGAAAATGCAATAATATAATAGAGTGTTCCATTGAAAATAAAATAAAGGTGGCCATACGAGGAGACGTTAATGTTATAACGAGTATAAATGAACTTATTTTTGTATTTTTTTATAAAAGTGTCATATTTTGTAAATTATTTAGGGTGGACAGTTTTCATTAAAATTCCCTGTATATTCCATATTATTTTTTTTAAACGTCAAAGTACAATTCCGTATACTTGTATAAATAGTGCGGAAATATTCCATACAGTTATTCCACACTGTTTAGTGCATTGAATAACCAGCATCGCGCTCATCTCCGATGCTGTGTCTTCCTCTATCATACCAGACATTACATTGATGTCTTAGCCTGTAATGTCGTGAACTCGCCTAAAGCCGACACTGTACATTATTTATCTTCACTGTTACCCGCATGCCTCGTGATCGAGACATTGCTGGAATTTTCTCGGTATGCAGCCGACGCATAGAGGAAGCACTTCACGAACGCCTCGAGATCCTTTTACCCAGGGTTGGTATTTTCTAGACTATTTTATTTTGGTATAAATAGCGCGACTTTATCAGTAGACGTTAAGTTTCAATATAACTGTTTTTAAGTAAAGATAAATAGTAAAAAAATAAATTAGAATTGTGAATTACAATAGTGCTTGAGTATTATAAATACATTCATAAGTAATAGTGTAAATAAATCAACTGTTGTAAATAAATAAACTGTTTTTAAACCAACCAATCGTTACGTTGGTATTAGAACTGGAACTGTAAATAAATAGTGGACAAAAATGGCTAAAAACTGTATGATTTAAAAGTATCTGAATTACGTCGAGAGCTAGAGAATCGTGATCTGAAGACGACAGGAAAAAAAGTAGAGCTGGCAGAATGGCTTAAAGAATCAATAGAAAGTAAAAGTTTGGATTCGGAAACGTATCTATTTTCTGATGATGCGTTTTCTATGATTTATTTTTGGAAAGTTAAATGTCTTCCATGGAAACCAACGTTTCTTCTGATATGTCTTCTCTAAAAACTGATAATTCTTTTAACATTTCTTCATTATAAACTAAAGTTTCTTCAGATGTTACCTCTATAAAAAATGATATTTCCTCCTTAAAAACCAAAGTTTCTTCCGACATTTCTTCCATAGAAAATACAGTTTTTTCTGATATTTCCTCATTAGATGATAAAGTTTCTTCCTTAGAAACTAAAGTTTCTTCAGACATTTCTTTCTTAGATAGTAAAGATTTTCCTTGGAAACAAAGATGTCATCTGAAATTTCTTCTATGAAAAATAAGATATCTTTAGTCGAGGAGAAAATAATGTATTCCATTGTGGAGACACTAAAACAGATGGAAAAGAAGACAGAAGAAATTGACCACACAGAACAGTCCAAGCACAGTGAAATAAAGTATCATGAGTTGAAATCAAAGTTGAAATTGGAAGGAACTGCAAACTCTGCTCGTGTTAAAGCCCCAACTTTCGATGGCAAGATGTCATGGACCAATTACCTTAAATAACTAACGAAAAAATGGTCTGAAAGATAAAAGGCAGTCAATTTGACCATCAAGTAGACGCTTTAATTTAAAAAAAGACTAAACATGCGATATGGCCACAAACACTTGAAGCATTTGTATCAATCACAGCTAAAAAATAGCAAACAGAAACGTGACGAGACTTTTCAAGAATGTGAAGTAGATATTGCCAGGTTGGTGCGTTTTGCCTACCCATCAGCTTCAGAAAACATGATGGAATGTTTGGCAGTCCAAACATTTGTTGATGGACTCCGCGACCACGAAATACAGAAAACACTCTGTTTAGCCCGTCACAAAACATGTCTTGTCCGCTGCTCTAACGTATGAGGCAGCTACGCATGCTTCTGGAGGATAGAGTAGTGAGGACTGTAAGAGAAGAAGACGTGGAAGATTAAATCGACTAACTAGTTAACATAATGAAGAAATTTACTGATAAAAAGATAAAGACATGTACGCAGTTCATGTAAACGCCTTGGAGTCACAACCAATGAAGACAACACGCCGCAGTAAAACTAGAGTGGGTCGGTCTAGAGGGGGCAGCTTCTACCTGAAACCATTCCAAAGACTCTCCTATACTGATAGCCTCTTTGAAATGTTGCCATGATAGTGTATACGTAGACATTGAAGCAAATATTGAAAAAGAATACACTATTGGTAGATACTGGAATAACTAGAACCATTGTACGACCAACAACCATAAATAATTGCAATAGAGTTTTACCATCAAGGTTGCGATTGCGGACTGCCACGAGTGAAAATGCCAACATCCATGGGTAAATCTATGTTCAATTAGGAATTAATACAGAAAAGTTCACTCATACTGTTATTGTCGCAGATATCGAAGAAGGTGTTGTACTAGGAATGGATATAATGAACTTACATGGCTTTCAGTTGGATTTTAACAACATAGTGATCAAAGTTGGGGACAGTACCGTGCCAGTTGCTATACAGAAGAATATGGTGGTACCTGGCAGAAGTGAAACTATTGTAGTAGCTCGGCTCCAAGAAACTATAGAAAAAAGACACCTGTCACAAAGGAATCTTGGAATTATGATGAAGAGGTTGGACGTGGAATTCTGATCGGAAAAAAGTTGGTTACGACTGCTAAAGAAATTCCAGTATGTCATAAACGCAAAAAACGTTAATGGTCACCCAATTACCATCAACAAAGAGACGAGAATCGGAATCTGTGTACCAGTAACTTCCATAATTCTTCAGACAACAACTTCTAATAAATCCAATGACAAATTCCAGCAAATGATTGCAGTTGCTGGTCAATCATTAAATCAATTAGAGAAAATAATAATAAAGGCATTTACTCGTCGGTATCGTGACATTTGTGTACCAAAAGGAGGAAAAACAGCAAGAACTTCTGTCGTAAAATATAAAATTGACACTGGTAACGCCAGGTTGATTCGTCAATCAGCTCGAAGATTAACAAAGGCCAAGAGAGAGAAAATGGAGGAAGAACCTTCTACCAGCCCATGAGTCTCTCCGGTAGTCTTGGTAAAAAAAAGGATAGAACTACGAAATTATGTGTGAATTATAGTCAATTAAACAATGTTACCTAGACAGTCATTCTCTGCCTCGAATGGACGATCCCTTGGACACGGGCTGGAAGAAAACTATTTTCTAACTTAGACTTGAAGTTTGGATATTGGCAGGTATAAATGAACCCGGCAAGCACATGGGCGAAGGTCGATTTTACTTTGTATCTTAGACTACCAGGTATAAAAATAATTATGGATCAAACCTCAAATCAAGTTACCTGATTTCAAATCTTGATATTTAGTCACTATATTAGTGATGACGTAATTTATGTTCCAATGACAATAACAATATACTTATCAAAATTGAGGTTATAGGCATTTATCAACATTTTATTTCTAATATTTTCAAAAAACTAAAATGTATCATAGTGATAGAAGTGATATCAATACTTCCACTACACAATTACTACGTATTAATATTTAATAATTGTTAATATTAAATATTTGTAATAAGTAGGTAAGTTTGAAAATAAAATTTTATAAAATACGCCTATATGGTTTGGAAAATTATTTAAAAAATATGTAATTTATATTGTAATCATTGCGCCGTAGAAAAAGTACAGTATGCTACATGCGCAGAAAACCTATTCCGCACTCGCATGATTGTGGCACAAGTTTCACACCACACGTCGTGTGGAATCGATTACTTTCTGCAATATACTATTTCGTTTAAAGCTTGTACAATTTTAGCAGGATTTTTAACTAAAATTAACGAATTGTCACAAAACTGCGCGGGAGTTGTACGAAATTATTCTCACTAACAATAGTAGTGCAAAAGGCTTAAAAAATAATGTCAGTGATAAACTAAAAGCAGTTTTAGGTGAAAAATGTTACTTGGTGAACATTGAGGGGTTCCTCAATAACATTCATTAAGTTAACATCTAGGAATAAGAACAACATTATATGAATTGTTACCCTTTGTATATCTATAATAATTGTTACAAAGTCTATAGCTAATAACCCTAGTGGTTAAAGCTTAAATAAATAAAAAAAGTGCTATTTTTCCTATGATTAAAACATTTTTTCTTTTTAGGTGGCCGAAAGTGCAGTAAAAATTTACAAAGGTACTAATCCCGAAGTGGATTCCTATTCAGCGTTTTGGGATAACTCAAAAATGACAGACACCAAATTAGCAGCACAACTTAAAATGAGAAATATTACTGATGTATATGTTTGCGGTGTAGCATATGACGTATGCGTAGGTAAGAAATCTGTATGACTTTACGCACTTATAAATAGTTTACTAGTGTTGGGTCGCTCGGAAAAGTTCATTGACAACTTCATAGACATGTCCAACAAGTCTAAAGAGTAGAACAAAACAAGTTTTTCAATAGTGGAAAAATGTGCGCATGTGCGAAATTAAATTAATTAATTTAGTTGAATTTTTTATAAATAAAGACCAAACATAGTTTAAAAATAAGAAATGACAAATGACTATTCAATTTTATGTTTTCACGATTTATCTGCAATGACGATTACAAAGGTTGTATTCATAAGATTATAAATGTCCAATCAATTAAACAATTGTTACTAAGCCAAATTGGCCTATATTTATTTATGACTAGTTAAATATATAATAACCTAATTAGTTTTACTTTTTTTTACTTATATTAACAACTAATTACACTATTCTGCTTATTTAAGTCACAAAGTATTGTTATTATAATATGTAATACAACGAGTACTATTGGGATTGATGGTAGCGTAAGATAATGTAAAGAAACATGGAATATTTTAAATGATTATCCATAGTCCGGCTACCAAAAGTTGTATTTAATAGATTATATCATAAATTATAGTTACAGTACTGATAAAATATGACAAGTTTGCCTACTAGATCTTTGCGGCATTAATGTACCAAGCATGTATGAGTATCGATTTTATATAATAATGAACTAAACGTATGGGAAATGATTTGAGTGATATAATCAGTATAATTAAATTCATGACATATGATTAATCAAACAAAAGCATAAGGATTAAATACATTTTCAGCCGATTGCAAGAACGTTTATTTGAATTTATAAGCCTAATAAACTTTGACAGAGGTTGAGAATGTGATCTGCCTAAATTACATTAAAGGTACCATTTCGAAACGCGCGACCGACGACAGACGATAACAGAAGCAACGGCAAATGAGACGTTACGATTCACACATTTGAGAAGCAAGGAGACAGGCGACACGACAACCGCCGACAGCCATTCGAGGGAACGATCAGTGTTGCCAGACCTACTGTTTTACAGTAGATCCACTGTTTCTGTCTCTTCTTCTGTTTTAGGCATAAATTCTACTGTTTTCGCCAACTTTACAAATGCTGCTCTTAATTTATTAAGTTTGCCTCATTTTTTAGCAAATGGTCAAAGAATATTTTCTCTAGTAAATTTGCCGAAGTAAAAGCAGCATAATAAACATCCGATATTGTAGGTTTGCTCCATAAAAAAAAATCTAAAGATAATCAATATGTTTTTATTTAAAATGCAACAAAGAATTAATAGGGCATCATAAAAAGAACATGCATGCCAAACACAACGTATTTGAATTATCTGATTCAGACTGATCTAAAATAAATACCTAATATTTTTCTTTTTTTTTTTTGTTTCCGGACGTTAAGTATATATTAAAAATTTTATTATTTGTTTTTATTCTTTGTTTACTTTCTAAATTTTCATCTGGCAACATTGCCCAGGATAGATCGAAAGAACTTTGCAACTACCATTTCTATAAAATATCGACTAATCACCTCGAAATACAAGCGGTGACTGAGCGCGACAGGCACTACCCCGAGACCGATCTTCCTGTCGTCGACTTCTGTCTCTTGCACTGGTCGCGCTTTGCGAAATGTGTTTCATATAATTGCATGTGTTCAGACGTTAAGAGACCGTTCTTGGTCTTCCTTGCCGTCACTTCTGCTGTCGTATGTCGGTTGTCGCGCGTTCCGAAATGGTACCTTAAGCCTTTCAATACTGGAACTCGATTAACATGCAAAAAATAAATGATTATATAAGCATAGGTTAGGGATTGCAACTGGACAAATCCGTCTGGTAAATAATCTATTTAGACTTAGAAATATGTTATAAAGCAGGGACAGAAGTTGAAAAGGCTCTCCAATAGTTTTGGCAATTCTGACAACTAGGTAATTTCGTTTACAAATGAAGGGTACAGGGCAAAAACCAACGGAGTCCAAAAATGAAAAAAATGAGATAAGCATTTCACTACATTCTTTCCGCCGTGTATTTTATTAAGTAAAATCATCAAGGGCAACAACAAACAGAGTCATGGGATATTCAAGGTTATAAATAAATACTGCAGGGGAAAACCAACATAGTCCACCTAAAACATAGGAACAACCAATACAGTCCATAAAATATTAAAATGTGTAGTTTAGTCGGCTACGCTTCAGCCTTCAGCTGTATTTACTTAGCTGTTGTTTCGAAACGTTTAGTGAAGCAAGCAAGACTGTTTAAAATGTCGGACAGTGACGAAAATATAAGTGTTAATACAGAAAAGTCAACGAAAAAATATGGCCGCCTTAGAGATGTTGATAAGAAGCTAAAGGCGTCGACGTTTGAAACCGGAAGCTGCCAATGCAAGCGGTATATGTGCTTTGAGAATATTTCTGTCGCCGAACAAAGTGAGTTAATAAGACAATTTAATAATATTGGACGTGAGAATAGTCATGGTGTCCAAAATAGTTACTTATCTGGCCTTATCTCATTACTACCTGTTTTTCGACGAAGGCCAACGCAAAATGAAGAAGATGCTAGATTGAATGAAAGCTCCTACAGCTACAAGGTAAGAGTTAATAGGAATAGCAGAGCAGAAGAGGTGTCAATATGTTTTAAAGCATTTCAATTACTTTTTGGAATTAAAGCCTTTCGATTAAATAAAAACATATTTAAAAACAACTGGCGATCCGCCGATTGATGGAAGGGGAAAGCATATCAATAGACCTCATAAGATGTCTCAACAAACCCGTGAGTTGTTATTGCTTTTTTTGGCTCCTTAAAGGGACGTAAAGCGCACTACAGCTTGAAGGACTCTAACAGAGTATACCTCCCGGAAGATATGAATGTTAAAAAGCTTCTTGTGTTATTTTTGTCTAAATAGCCCTATATTGAGATGTGTTATGAAACATTTAGGAAAATGTTTGTGTCAGAGTTCAACATCACATTCGGTTATCCACGAACCGAAACGTGCTGTTGGTGTGATGAGCAGAAGCCAAAATTATTAAGCTGGATAGAAAATTGCCGCTAGAAAAAGTGATGACAAAAAGGTAAAGTTAGACAAAGAAGGTAGGAAGCTAGAAACTGAGAGGACCCTTCATTTGAAGAGAGCATATTGGTTCTATGAATTAAAAAGGCGTGCAAAAACCGGAGCTAGAAAAACGTCAACTGTAGAGGCTATCGCTATAGATTTCGGAAAAAATCCCCTACTCCGAATATAACTTTTGCTGAGGTGTACTTCAGAAGAGAGCTGTCATTCTATATTTTTAATGTGCATACTTTGTCAACTGGTGCTTCACTAATGTACACCTACGACCACATCGTCGCAAAGAAAGGGTCAGATGATATTGTCTCCACGCTCTATCATTTTTTCAACACCTACCTGGATCCTGCTGTTAAGAAACTTTATGTCTTCGCTGATTCGTGCGGGGGACAAAATAAAAACCACACCATCATCCAGTTCCTCCACTACGTAACTGCTAATCTAAAAAGATTTGACGCTGTGACAATAACTTACCCAGTGCGCGGCCATTCCTTCATGGAGCCCGACAAAAACATGGGGTGTATCCCCAAAAGTGCTAAGGGTAAAACTCCAGATGGCTGGAGAAAGCCGCCCGAACCAAGCCGTATCCGTTTGTTGTGGTATCATGTGAACAAGTTATGTTTAAAGGTTGGGGTAATTTTTTGTCCTCCAAGTTGTGCAAGAAAAAGTTATCTTTTCCTATTAGGCAACTAAAACAGTTAATATTCATTCAAACAAAAAGCAAAACCGTTGACCATAGGGAAACATATAACGGAAGTTACATGTCATCATTGATAAAAGATCAACGGAAGAACCAGAAGAGAAAATCAAACGTACCATATCTTCAAGAATCCAACCAGCTCTACCATAGCCCTATACCTCTGCCCAAAGAGAAGTGTGCTGATTTAAAAGTTCTAATAAAATTCTGTGATGAAAAGAGATCTAAAGAGTACTACAGCCAACTTCTCTCTGCCAAGCGGCCTACCAGAACCAGAATCAAATGATGTGCCTGATGATCAAAGTGATTTTTAGAAATCAGATTATTTCAGTCTTTAGTTTGCGGATTGTTTTGTTCTTGATATTGTTCTTTATGTTGTTCTTTATGTTATTCTCTATGTTCTTTATCATGTAGAAATGCCTATAATAGCGAAATAAAGAATTTAAAAAATATAGTTTTTTTTCTGTCCAGAGGAAAAACCAACTCAGTCAACATTTTGTTTAAATAAAAAATAACTAACTACAAAATAAAAATACAATCATAACATTACTTTTGCTATTAAAAAAAAGTACATATCGAACTAAATATAAAAAAATATTTGTCTAGAAAAGCTTCAAAAGCGTCGGATTTCTATCGTTTTTAATTTTGTTTTCTTTATCCTGAAAATTATCATTTTTGAATTCTGTTAGTTTTTACCCTGTTAGTCTAATCAACAAGTTCAAAAGCGTGTTTTTGGGACATACTATTACGAAAATTATGTTCAATAGCTCATTCGATTCGGAATAATGTCTAGATCAATGTGTGAAGAAAAATTTTGCCGTACATAAAAAATTGCAAAAGTTATAAACAATTAAACACCTCAAAAACATGGTATTTGGTTTTTCGCCTATAGTTTGTAAACTATAAATATTTTTGAAATATTAAAAAAAGATCCTTAAAGAGGAGGAAATTTGCTATAAGTTCCGACTCCCGGAACTGTACCTCCATTATTTATAATTTTAATTTAACGCTCAAAGTAGCCTTCCGCGCGCCATTTTTAGGTTGCGCGCACGGCGTCGAAACAGAGTACGTTACATAAAATAATTTTTTTAAGTTATAAAATTAAATTCAAAAATTTAAAAAAATTACGGTGTATTCTAAACACTTAGAAGAATTCATTCCCGTTGGAATTTTTCATAAAAATTAATTTTCCAACAAAGTAGGTTATTGTTAATTAACGAAATTTTTAGAATTTATCTCATTACAAATTGATAAAAATATTAAATAATTACCGTAATTTTTTTTTGCTTCGTGGAGATCTTTTTATATGCATATAAAACAAAATAGCTTCATAAAAGTTTAAAAAATGTTAATACTTTGTTTATAATAATTTTTTAAAGTTTATGCATACTTAAATAAGTACTATTTCTAGAAACTCGTCTATGCACACATAGTCCAATGGACGTCCACTTTAGATCTATTTGAGGGTCAGGACGTCCATATCCGGGCATCCAGTGTATGTTCGTTTATGCTAATTAAATTGACAGCTGAATATCGATACCCAGAGAACGTCTGTTTTTGGACTTAATTTTAAGTTTAGTAGTATTTTGACGTCCAGTGGACGTCCATCTTAGGTCATTATTTATTAAGCCTACCAGATAATACCCATCTATATATACTTCTTTTTTTTTTTAATATAACTGGTCATTAAAAATTGGCAAATTGAATCTATTGCATTTCATTCTATTTGCGAAAATAATAAACAAATTATTAATAATATAAAATAGTGTGTGGTGAGTTGTGGTTCTGTAAAAAAGTGGGGATGTGGTCTCAATGGAAATATAATCTTGGACGTTTTTTGAATGTCCAGTATTCGACGTCCAAATATATTCCAGAATTGGACGTCCTCTGAATGGTCAAAAGTGTGGCATTTGTATACTTCACTGGACGTCCATTGGATGTCGGAAGTCCAGAAAACTCATTTTTGGACGTCTAGACATCCAAAATTGTATATCGAATCGACATCCAATGGACATATTTGTATTGTCTGGGTTATAGCCAGGCCAGGTATTTAACTCTAAATACATAAACCTTGAATGAGATCTGGTTTAACTTGGCGAGAAAACACTTGTTTCTACAGAAATGAGTGATAAACTTGAAAGTCCTCTTTATATAATATAAATCTAGAAATTCTAAAAATATGTAAGTACTTTTTTGACCTGAAAGCTTTGAAAATATATGCACATTGCAAATATTTAGTTAAACCTCTCAAACTTAATGTCTTTTTAATTGTTACCTAAATATTTTTTGGCACCCTTAATTTTATTTTTACTTAAGGAAAAGGTAATTTAATTTAAATATGGGGCTTTTATTACATTTTTAACAATAAATAAACCAAATATTGAACAAATCTTATGGATAAATTATAAAATAATAAACGTCTTTTACTTTTATAACAAATAATTAATTATTACATAATGAATTATATTTCGGTACCGAAATTTTACCATTGCTATTAACCCTAACTACGAGTACTTCAATGTAATTAACTCACATTGCAACATTTGCGCATGGACTATAACAATAATTTCAGATAATTTGCCAAACTATTTCGTTCAGTGTAGAAAATAAGCATGTTTTCTCAGCGTGCTAAGTTGTGTATCAATCAAAGTCATTCTGTGAAAAAGGTACATCCGATATCAAAGGCACCGACAGCTACTGTCGCTTTTCCTTGATCGGTATTCTCGGACCAAACACCATGTTTTTGAGGTGTTTAATTTTTTATAACTTTTGCAATTTTTTATGCACTGCAAAATTTTTCTTCACACATTGATCTAGACATTATTCCGTATCGAATGAGCTATTGAACATAATTTTCGTAATAGTATGTCCCAAAAACACGCTTTTGAACTTGTTGATTAGACTATGTACCCTTCAAATGTTTTTTAATATTTTTTATTTTTAGACTATAAAAAAATTTGTTTTTTAATTTGATGGTTGTTTTTAAAACAAAATAATTTTTTTTTACATATTACATAAATAAAATAAAAAAAATGTGTTTAGTTGACAGGTTCGAGACCGGAACCGTATAAATTCGCAGAAGCATCGGCTGCATTCTGACGGGCTCGTCAGTGCGATCGGCAGTGGTCTCGAAAGGGTTAATTTCAAATTACAATCCAAACAAAGTTTATCAGTCTCGTACATTTTAATAAACTCTTTTGCCACAGGCTGAGTTATATATCTTTAACACAATTTCAATTTGAACCATACCAAAGTGTATGAATCTTACGAAGAAAATTATTAAATTTCAGAAAATTTAGCAGTCACTTCAGTCATCATACAATTTTTTAATTCTAGGAGCAACGGCGATAGATGCAATTTCCAGCGGATTTCGAGTAATTCTACTAGATGATTGTTGCAGAGGAGTAGACCTCTTGGATATCGAAAAAACCAAAAATACTGTGATCAAGAACCACGGAGTTGTAGTCAATTCTGACAGGGTTAGGAATATGGTCGAAGGAAACGACAGAAGACCTGAACTCGGTTACAAATTGGCGTTAAATCTAAAGGAAGAGAAGATCAAACTAAAGGGCGATTCGTAATTTCTTGATAGTTTTAGACGTATCTGATCGATTGTACTTATTTAAAATTAAGCTTTAGATGTAAAATAGGGCATATCCAGTTGTTTGTTCAAATTATTGTTAGTATAATTATAAATAAAAATTACAACTGTTTAACGGATGTTTGTAAAAATAAAATGATTACGATAATAAAACATTATTTAGATTAAGAATATTAATAACGAGATTGCAGATAGTCTTGCAAGGAAAGGGGCTCAAACACCCTTTGTAGGACCTGAGCCGTTCTGCAGTATCAGCAGTAACATAATATTAGTAACATAATATTAGGATAGATTAAGAAAGAATTGGGTAGTAGAAGAACCGATAATTGGAACAATCTCTTGGGGCTGAGACAGGCCAAGATACTTCAGGGCGAATATAACCAAAAAAGATCGGAAGCTTGCATCTGCCTAAGCAAGAACAGGCTACGTATTGTAACAGGAATCCTTACCGGGCATTGTCGAATAAAAGGACACCTAAGTAAACTGAGAGTAGTAGAGGATAGTGAGTGCAGATTCTGTGAGGAGGAGGACGAAACCTCCATTCACATCCTAACTGAATGTGTAGCATTCCAGAATCCAAGGGCACTATATCTAGGAGGATATCAAATAGAAGAGGGAGATTTACCTAACTGAAGCCTTCAAATCCTACACTTCCTTGAGAAAATAGGATTGGAAGGGTCGCTATAGACATTGAGACATTTCCTTAGTGCAGTGGCGGCAGAAGGGGGCACAATAGATCTTTTAGGTCGCAGTGTATTAACACCTCATTCTCAACATAACATAACATAATTAATATCTGCACTGCAGTAGTGTCGACCTTGGTTAGTACTTGGATGGGTGACCATCGTGTTTCTATTACAACTTCTGGTAGGAATATTGGATAATGAGAATTTCTAATCGTCATTAAATCTTGTATAAAATAATGTATACGACAGTTTTTATTTGTGTAATTTGTTAGTGAAACCAAAAATCGGATGTTTCTTACATTTTACTTATCTAAAAATTCATTACGACCAACAATTGGAAATAAAAATGATGAGACTATTTTTAAATAGCTTAATTATAAATCCCGGAGAAAGACAGCGTTAGAGTATGCACTTGAAAGAGAATGTATTTTAATTATATACTCTATATTTTCTTCTATTACATTTATTTTACGAGACTTTCAATTAGTTTTCTTTTTCATGTTTTCAATTTAGAAGCATATCTTTCAAGTAATGAAAATTCTACGGAACTTATAAATTAAAAATCTGTGTTCTTATAATCCAGAAAACAAAGCGAAAACAAAATATGTAATTTATGTTAAACTCAATAATAATGACATGACATGTTTAATAATGACAATTGAGGATTCTTCCCAATTTTTTATATTTCAGAAATTGATAGATATTTACGCATAAACATAGGGCAGATTTGGACGCTTTTTTCAATAGCAAATATTTTCCCAATTTTCAAATATTTAGGTTTATGAATGCACTGAGCGATAGCTATATCCCAAGCAGCAAGGTGCCGTCATTATGACGTTATTTTTTGGGTATACTCGTCAGAAACGTCACTATCCCAATTAATGACGTTACTTTGACGTCGGTTTTGTAACGTTAATTAGACGTCAAGACAGAATCGTCATTATAACGTAATTTTTTAGTATTAATTTATCCAAAATACAATATCCTAATCAGTTACGTGTATTTGACGTCGCATTGATGACATAGAATAGACGTCACTTAGAATTCGTCATAATTACGTTATTTTTTCGTATATTTCTGGCAATGTCATATGTCAATTGTCATTGTTGTTTCCTGTTTCCTCCATCTTCATGATTCTTGTGACAGCCGTGACCTCGTGAACGTGGTGCATTTATATTAAACCGAATTTGATATTTTACAGATGTGTGGCATTGTTGAGTTTGAAAAACCGGATGATGACGGTCTGGCGGTTGTGAAGTGGGCAGAAAATGGCTGATGCTGCGTAAAAAAGAAGTCTTGGCCGCCTTTATAAAGAAATATATAAAGAAATAAGACTGGTGAGTAATGTTATACTTTTATTTTTTAATTATGAGTTCTTTCAGGGTATTTTTTTAATAGTTTATTTAAAAATAAAAGATTTGTAGGGGGTCACTTGATTTAGATACCTTTTATCGTCTCACAGAATATATGATCTTTTTTTAATAACTTTTATTATAAACTCAAACTATATGTATACCTCTGAGAAGGTAGTTTTTGGGGCTACAACCTCAATCTCCGGTGAAGTAATCCCCTCAGATTTTACAACTAGATACACAATTTACTTTCTATCTTTAAGAGTTTTCAGTGGTCTATATTTTAATAGTTCTTTTATTTTAGATGATAATGATAAGTGATGTACCAAATTAAAAAAAGTCGAAGTTACTTCAGATCTACATTCGGAGGCTGATAAAGTACCTACTAAAAGAAAACGGGTGCCAACTAGAAAGCTGTCATTCGACGATACTGAAGATGATGAAATCGTAAAGCATGCTTGCCCACCCCCAATTAAAATCAAATCTACAATTTTAGGTATGTTGTGTCAGTTCCTCTAATATTCTCTTGTCATTTTATTCCTTTTGGTTTCTTGCACATGACTTTTTTATCTACCAGTGTAATTTATTTTTTATAACATATTTTTCATGTGTTTTTTTGTTTAAATAAATAACTTATCTGCCTAGTATTTTTAATAATTTCATACAACCTTGAGACACCCAATATAGACGTCACTTTGACGTTAGGTAGATTCGTGATAATGACGTCAATTTGCCTAGCCTAGGACACCCGATATACACCTTACTTTAACGTGATATCGATTCGTCAATATGACGATATGGAATGACGTCATTTCGCTGTGACATTCTCACGTTACCATAACGTTATTTTCACGTCATCAAATGACGTAACGCACACCAAAAAATCACGTCATAATGACGGCATGATGTTGCATGGGATACAACTTGATCCTAAACATTGCTATCGAAAATATTAACATACGAGTATAAAGCAGACAAAAAAATATTTCTGTATGTATGCATTTGTCCACTTGTGCCTCACCATGGGGTACATTTGGATAATAGTATTTTTACTTTATTTAAACCCTTGTGTAAATAATTTTAAACAACTGAACCTATGAATATTTATTTTTTAAGTTAACTAACAAACTTATTATTGGATGTTATATTGAATTTTATGTAAGATGCTTGTCTGGACGTTCCTTTGTTTTCTGGAGGTTGATGAAGTTTCGTCAAGATGTCAGTCCTAGGTATTGTGCTGATGTCATTTTAAATAGAATAGTAAAATCCACAGTTTGGTTTGAATCGTAAAAGTTCATTGTAATGGTCATCTAGCTTTTGTACTTGGCCCACAAAGTGAACAATAGTTTTCTTTGTTGCAAATTTTACCAACACAAAGTCGCCCACGGTAACATATTCATCATTTACAAGATCATTAATGTCCTCATATTTGTTTTGTAAATCTAAGTCAGAATCTGAGCTATAATTAATTAGACCATTAATTTTGACATTAGAAGTTGTTGCTTCCATATCAGAATTTGACGAGAAACTTAAATAGGATGAGTTTTTCCTTGGTTTTTTTCTTATCTTCTCTCGGACAGTTTTTGGTATTTTATTTTCACAAAGTTTTCTTTTTACAATGTTGGCTCGTTTTTCTAGAACGTCTGCTATTCTGTGTTGGCTGTAGTGTGGGAAAGGGTCGAATCTCGTTTAGATCTACAAGTTTTGAAGGTTCTGTTCTAGAAAATTTATTGATAATATTTGTTAACATATCTTGCATTAACTGAGTTATAAATTTCACGGTGTCTACCTTCTCTAAAACTAAATTTTCTGGATTATGGGTAAGATCTAAGTCGTTGATGCCATATTCTTCAGAAGCTACCATTGACCCTAGTGGTATGCAAATATTATCAGCTCATGAACTTGTGGAGGGTCCATAGCTGCCCAGATAACAATTATACATTCTTAGCATATTCTCAGTATATGCTTTTTAAGAATGTGCATATGCTGAGAATATACTTTATTTGCATTTGGAATATTCTCAGAATATGAGGTACATGCTGGGTATATGACTTTTAGTATCTTCTTAGAATGTCCTGTTATAGCACGTGCTCAGTATATACTTTTTAGAATATACTTTTAAGGCACGTGCTCAGCATATACTTTCTATAATATACTGTCAAAGTATATACTAGGTATGTTCTAAGAACATACTAAAAAGGACATACTAAAAAGAACATAAACAGAACGTTCTTAGTATATTCATAGAACATTGATGTTATGTGGGTGAGAACTCCAGCAAATTTAGAGTCATCAAAATTTAGACTGTTTATTGGCCAGATTCTTGCTTTCGTAAAGCACTTAATATTATTAATGGGAGTAAATGATAGCAAATACGGTTCTGAGGTTAGTTTTCCAATATCGTATATTGAAATTGCTTTGCCCGGACTCGTTAAAATATGATCATTAAAAGCGGACTTGCATCTGGCTTTGAACGGACCGTAGACACCGACGTCCAAAGGCTGCGTGCAGTGTGGTGGAAAGGAAAGTAATATTATGCCATTTTCTCGGCAATAATTAATTGGGTCAAATGAAACATGAGTTTCGTGGTTATCCAGAAGTAGGAGAATAGGATTATATCACACACCTAGATGACTATACAGCGCAAGAGAGACATCCAACACGGCAACAATTGAAAAGTCTAATAAGCCGCCATTTTGCCAGAAATCTGTCAAAACATATATGCAACCAACAATGCATGGTAATGTGAAAGCCAGACATTATGCAACTAACATTATGCGTTTTTGTTAAACAAATTGGATGCATCAAGCTTCTTTGTTACTAGGCATTTTATAATTATTAAAAAAATTGTTTATGCATCAATTACTAACATTATTTTGTGAAATTGCATTATTACATATTCCTAATACTTTAAAAATCAGATAAATTGATCAAATCATTCGAAAAAAATGTAAGATAATGCTGTCGCTTGACTGCTCAGAACCGCCGGGGTTTGTCAATGCAGGATCGAAGAATAAATCATAATTTCCCCGTAAAGGTGTTTCTGTGTGAAAATTGGGATGGTACATTGGGATTTAGGTATATATGACTAGGTAACTAACTACTAAAATAGCATCGGCATTATCG